TTCCTTGCCAGGTCGGGGAGGGCCTTGCCAATCTTTACTCCTTTGCTCGGGTCTGCGCCGAGGGGGACGAGCTCAAAATCCCCGTCCGGTATTGGTCGGAGTGGAACTTGCTCGCCATTGGGAGGTCCATCCTGATCGAAACGAGCATCCAGGGCTATAGAGTCGACCTTTGGTGGAGCTTTCTGGACTTCTTCCTTGGCGGACTCTGGCTTGTCGGGCTCCTGTCGTGTCGTCGCTAGTCTTTTGGTGGGCCTTATCCCGACGTCGACAGTGTCGCGCCCCTTATATGCAGCATTGAAACACCTCCGAGCAGCGGCTAGGTCTCCCTGGATAGTAGCTACCCGTGCCCTTTTGGTGTAAAACTTCATCTTCAGGTGGACAGTGGAGGGCACCGATGTCAGTTCTGCCAGTGTTGGTCTCCCCAGGATGCAGTTGTAGAGGGACGGGAAGTCGATGACGAGGAAGCGTACTTTGACCTGCCTTGTCGTTGTGCCTTCGCCGAATGTAACCATGAGCTCGACATATCCCCAAGGCTTGGAGGTCGAGCCGTTGAAGCCTTGCAAGTCCGACCCTACGTACGGCGAGAGATGGGAGTCGTCCAGCTGCAGAGTTCTGAATAGTTAGTTGTACATTACATCGACGGAACTTCCTTCGTCGACGAGGATGCGGTGCACATCGAAGTTAGCCATTCTTGCCCTTATCAGCAAGGGGGTGACTGCGTTGGGAGCTCCCCCGGGGAGCTCTTCCAGGTAGAAGGTGATGGGTTCTGACCTGCCTTTTACCCTTTCAAATGTCACTGTTTGCGGGGCTGCCACGTCGACCAGCTCATCCACCTTCCTCTTAGCCGAATTAATGGTCAAGTCGTTGAATCCTCCTAAGTTGATGACCATGGCGGAGGGGAAATATTCCCACCTGCTGTGTGTTATGAGCGACTCCTGCAGGTGTTCGGGGACGTTGAAGTCCTCGGGTCTGGTCATGGAGAAGGCGGTCTGGATGGGGACCGACTCTTCAGATGGTCGGGCGTCTTCCTCTGGTTCTCTTGTCTCCCGCGCGTCACGACGAGGGGCGTCGTTTCGCTGATATTGTGAGAGCCTTCCTCCCTTGATGAGGGTTTCGATGGCGTCCTTGAGGTGGATGCAATCTTCAATCAGATGACCATGGCTCCTATGGTACTGACAATACTTGTTCTTGTCTGCTCCGGGCTTGGCGGGAGCGGGTCGGGGGCGTTTGACGCCGCCGTCCTTGAAGTCCGTGTTGGCACACTCCGCCAAAATGCACTCGCGGGAAGCTGTGAGCGGAGTGTACTCGGTAAAACGCCCCGAGGGTCCTCTCTGCTCTCGAACTTCTCGGGGTCTGTCTTCTTTTCTTTTCTCCCCGGTTCGTCGAGGAGGAGCAGCTTCCTGGCGTGGGTTGTTGTTGGACCCGTGAGTCCTGGGGTCTCGGGCTCTGTTGGCCGCCTCTCTCTCCTTGTCATCCATGTATGCCCGGGCCTTCTCGAGGAGGGCATCGAATGTTCTAGGAGGCTCGATTCCCACGGCCTTTCTGAATTCCGTGCCGGGGAGGATCCCCCTGTCCAGCAAATATCTCTTCATGTGGTCCGCGCAGGGGACCTGTATGGCTTCGCGGTTGAAGCGATTGATGAACTCTCTCAAGGTTTCATCCTGTCTCTGGATGATGGCCTCGAGAGCCGCCTTGGTCTTTGGGTGTCGCCGAGACGCTGTGAATAAACTGATGAATTGGTTCTTCAGGTTCCGCCACGAGGTGATTGATCCCGGGGCGAGACCTTTGTACCAGTCCATTGCTACCTTCTTGAGGGTCGTGGGGAATAGCCGGCATTTGATGGGCCCCCCGATGTTGTGATAGTGCAGCATGGCCTCGAACCCGTCTATGTGGTCGACCGGGTCCGCGACTCCATCGTATTCCTTCAAATGTGGAGGCTTCTCCATACCCGGGGGAATGGGCGCCTCCATGATAGCTTGCGACAGGGGACCGCGGGGGTCGTCCTCGTCGCTTCGCTCTGGGGACAGAGATGGGGACCTGTAATACTGTCGGGCACGACGGTCCTGGTCGTGCTGGGTATCTCTTGAGCGCGGTGCTCTTTGGTTGGTTCTTCCATGCCCGTCTCCAGAGTGTCTTCTTTCCTGCCTTGCGGGGGCGCGGCCGCGTCCTCCGGCTTCAATGATGGGTTGCCTCTCCAAAGGGGGACGTTTCCCTGATGGTCGGGGTGACGGGCTTCGAGAGGTATCTCTGTAGTGTCTCCGCGGGGGATACGGGAAATGAACCTCAGTCACTCGAGGAGGTGGAGTCTGTGGCCTCCGGTGCCTCCTCGGGGGTCTTCGATCGTCTTCAAGTGCCCTCAATCTTTCCCCTTGGGCGAAGATCAGGTAATTCGTCTGATTGATCGCCGCGAACAGTGCTCGGGTTGTGGCATCTGCCCCAGCGGGGACGGGGACTTCCTGAAACTGAGCAGCTCGATAGTTTGTGAGAGCTGCATCGTCTTCTTCGAGTGGCGGAGGGACTAAGGAGGACGAAGCAGTAGCTCCGTCGCGGTGGATTGAAGGCCCAGGGGCAGTTGACACAGTGATGGTGTTGTGACCGGGGTTACCCGCATTATCGAGGTGTCCGTTTTTATCCGCGAGGCCGTTGTTGGTGTCGACGACGCGAGTGTTTTGTTCATCACGAGCTTGGTCAGCCATGACGGTGATAGTTGAGTTGAGCTTTGGTCTTTGAGTTTTTGCAAGACGGGGAAGCTAGTTTCCCACAGACGACGCCACTGATCTTACCTGATCAGACTTGGACCGTCACGACTGGCTCCAAGCTGAAGTTGAACGAGATGGGGGGGGGGGGGGTACCTGCAGGGCACTCCGATGCTAAAGTAAGTGGCAGTACGAGCAGGCAAAAAAGTGTGTGTATGGTAAGAGAATGAATACCTGACCCTCTTGGAACAGAGGGTATTTATAGCCCCCAGCGCTGGGCCAAGATCCCTTCATTGGGCCGACCAGGATTGGCCCAATAAAGGAACTGCCAGGTTCTACGTGTGTAGTAGGGACCCGCACGTGGTCTCTTTCCTGGGTGCTCTGCGAGAAGTACGGACGGACGAGGACGCGGTCTTTTCGGAGTCCAGGTGACGGTGTAACGGTCATAGTTTGCCCTATGAGGGGTGCTCGAGCAGGACTCGAGCTGGACTATATGAGGTCGAGGACGTTGCGTTCGCGGGCAGTGGCGGGCACGACTGTAGCTTCTTGGTCGGTGTGCCCCCTGTAGAGCCGTTTGGATTAGGCCTTCATTCTTGCTCTTGGGCCAACCCGGGCCCAGTCCAGAACAAGTGGAAATAGATGTTAGAGACTAAAATTGGAGACAATATTTTAGTAGGACTATTTTTTGAATGAAAATTTTATGTCCTTTCACCACAAATTCTTGACACTAAAAAAATGATTTTTAAATAATTAAATAATGTTTATTTTTTTCGTTTTCATCTCCTTTTACAACATGACATGTGACATTTATTTTTCAACTTTCATCAATTAAATCATAATTAAATATTACATACACTCATTCTCTCTCTCGATTAAAATTTCAAAATTTTCACATTTCTTTTTCACACAATTTCTCACTTTCGTTTTAATTTTTTTTTCTCTTTATTTATTTATTATCACTGAAAATACTAATAATCTATTTTTTTATTTTAATAAAATTAAAATTTTATTTATCTTCCGGGTGATTATCAACATAATATTTATTTCATTTTAATCAACCATTATCTTAATTTGAGAGACAAAATTATTAATTTTAAATATTAATTTTTTCTTTCTCCATCTCACAATTCTTTTTTCTTTCTTTTTGTACAATTATTTAATAGAATTAAATTTATATGATTCTTGTTAATTTTACAATTAAGTAAATAATTTCAAATTTTGCATATGTATCTAAATATATTTTATATCATATTAAATAAAAAAATTTATCTTACGGATCATTATCAGTATAATGTCTATTTTATTTTAATCAACAATTACTTTTATTTGAAAGATAATTTTTATTTTCAAATGTTAAAAAAAAATTATCATCTCACAAATCCTTTTCTTTATATAATTATTTAATACAATTGAATTTATATTATTATTTTTCATTTCTAATTAAATCATTCATTTTAAATTTTTACGCGATTAAATTAATGTTTTAAAAACTGAATCAGAGATCGAACCGATGAAATTTCTAGTTTAAGATTTAGTTTATTAAACCGGTTAAACCTACGGTCTAACCGTTTATTAAATAACCTAATAATTTTAAAATAAATTTCATAGATATGTCACACATAATCATATCTTCACAATTTAATAAAATAAATATTTTAAATATTCATTACAAACTTAATAGAATAATATTAATAGTATATATAATAACACAACATAATTATACCTTTCATTTTTATCTTAATAATTTAAACTAATTTAATTAATTCAAATTAAAATTAAAATAATAGAATATAATAACTAAAATAAAGTTCAAATAATTAAGAATGGAAAAAGTAAATAAGATAGAATATAAAAAATAAATAATACAATATTTAAGTTTTGATATTGACATAAAATGTAAAAGATAGTCAATTCGATGATTTATTTTGAACTAGATGGTTTTATAAAACCGACCTCGATTTTTTAATTCGATTGGTTTTTGATGGTTCTATCCAGTTTTTCGAGTTTTACCCTGATTTTGACCCACTAGCGATTTTAAAAGGTTGATCCAACCAGATTCATCTCTGATTTTCGATCCAAGCAGTTGAACCATCCGATTCTGTTCGATTTTTAAAATATTGAATTAAATAAATTTTATTAAATACACGTGGCAAATAGATCATTTAAATATTTTCAATACAACACTGTCCCAACTCTTTTATTTGCTGACCAAGTATGATCACAACCATCCAATTGTGCAAAAACTAGAAGGTGCAGTGAATTGTTACACCCTAACGTACTGGAAAATTTCCCACCATCCTTATCATGACGGCTCTACCCGAAACACACCTATTACCGTCGGAGCCTCCAAACACATCCACACCAGAAATCTTACCAGTAACAACAGCACAACCAAACACCAATATCGCCTTTCCTCTAACGTTAGCTCCGAAACAGCGACGTTGTCTGAGTGTTCGTTTAGCCGAAGTCGGCGACCACCATGGCATCTCGCGGCTCCATAACTATCTGTCGTGCAGGTGGCGAATTTCAAAGGAATCCTCCAGAACCTCCAAAGCCATGACTGTAACGAATCTCGTGAACGGAATCGAGGATTTTGGTAAGGGTAACTACCGAAGAGGTAAAGGAAAGTGAGCTTGAACAAAAATATATGTAAGTATGAATGTATAAAATATGTTTACTGTAATTCAGAAACTTCCAAAAGGGTTTATGTTCTGGATTGGGCTGGCACTTGCCCCACCGTTGGGGAGGCCCAATCCAGCGCCTTTACCGAAGGCCCAAAAGCATGCAGCCCAAGTTGAGGACTATTGAGCATTTCCCCACGTGTCCAGTAGGAGAACGTAGCTCACGTGTCCATATCATCATCATTTTGCCCTCCGAGAATAACAGGTCCAACTCATGCTTTCCCGGGGCAGTTGACCAGGGAGGGGGCCACGTGCTGGACCCCATACACCCATAAACCCTGGTGAAATAACCGGCTGAAAATCCTCAAACAATGAAGTCGCCATCGAACGTTTTTTATCTCACAAGGGGGAAAGGTAAACATCGAGTAAACCTGAGAAGGGTGAAATCAAGTTCAAACGACCAAGATATAAGGATAAGAGAGTCTGTTACGCGAGGGGAAGGTATTATCACCCCCACACGCCTGTAGTACTCTATGGTATCCACTCTTGTTGTCTATCTTATGGGTGTGTTTAATCTATGCTTACGCTGTACAGGGAATGCATGCAAAAGAAAGGAGAAAAGAATGTAGGGAAAATAAAATTGTGCTCGTTCGGGCCCTACCCTGATGCCTACGTATCCCTTTCAAGGAATTAGAGCATCCGTAGTTCAACTCATATGTTTTTGGTGGTTTGTATTTTTTTAATGAACAATATTAATTTCGCCTTCTGCCGCAACTCGACCTTTGGAGACTTACGCGTCAGCACAGAAGTGAATTAACATGTTCTTTTGAAAAAGTTTTGAAAGAAAAGCCTATAGGCCAAAGGAGTTTGTGTTTGTTGGTGTTTTTGCTTGTGGATAACAGCTAGTTAATCTCAAGAGAGAGATATTAGCCATTTTTCTACTTATTCATGAAATAAGTCTTTGAGACTTGAACCACACTAAAGCTTAGAATAAGATAATAATAAGGTCGAGAAGAAACCCGCTTATCATCTCTCATACTTAACAAAGATATGATTCTCGTCAGTAATTTTTTTTTAGTATTTTAAGGTTTGTAAGAAAAAGAAGTTTTTGTTTTTGAATGCATATGCAAAAAGGGGAAAGAAAAGTCAAAGGGAGACTAGCCTAGTTCTAAACCTAATGTTATCATACTTCACATGATCTCTAGGAAGCGATAAATGCGGAGAGAAAGTAGAAATAAAATATACCAAACAAGTACTAGTCCGTAGAGCAAAGCAAAAAGAAAAGAAACCCAAAGAATTTCACGAGCTGCTAGCACCAACAAGGAAAAGAGTCAGAAATCGAATGCTTAGAATAAGCGTCAAAGCATCATCATTGTGAAAATAAATCACAATCAAAATCGCAAGCACATCCGCATATCGCACGATAAACCTGCATAAGATTCAAATCTCGACAAGCAAAAATGAATCACAAAATCTTGACAACAAAAACATAAACAATACTAGAAAATTATAACTAAAATTCTAAACAAAGAACTCCTAGAAAAATTCTATTATATTTCTGAAAAAGCAATTAACAATTTTATTGTTATCAACATTTTGGCTTAACAAAATTCAAGAGAAGAAAATTACTAAAAAGGAAATCCAAAATTAATTACAAATAGAGGTGAGGTTTGTGACTGAATCATATGGTAAGATAGAAGCAAATTCTAGGCCCATTGCAAAGGATCCAACAAGCAGTTTTTTTTTACAGTCCAAAAATAATACCAGCAATTGGGCTTCTAGGGAGAGCGCCAGCCCAGGCGAGCCATCAATAGCCTCATTATTAAGATTTTTTTTATTTTTTATTATCAACATATTATCTAAAAAAATGAAAATGAAAATAAAATAACAAACTGGAAGAAAGAATATGGTTGAGAGAAAGCATGTCTCTTCATCTCCTAATGGCGGCGTCCATCTCATTATGCAGCAACTCACTGATCCAGCTCTTGTATGCCCCTGATTGCTTCAGATCGTCGATTGAATCGTTATTCAGAGCGATCCTCCTTCTCTGTCGCCTCAACATCACAACATGTCTTCTTCATCTCAGTGACGCTATTCTTCTATGATGAACAAAACGTGACGTCGTTGCTGTCAAGCTTGTCACCACCTTCTTCGATTTTGCAAATTTGATGTGCGTCAATGTTGCTACGCGCGATTCGTTATTGGTTGTTGTCCGTCAAGGATGATGGTTGAACGTTGTATAGTCGGATTATAGGAAATATTGAGGCAGATCAAAGTAGGGAGTAAGATTAATACATAATGGGGAATCGATGAAAAGGAAATGTAATTAAAGAAGCGAGAGAATACAGAGAAGAATGGTGAGTTTCATACCTGTTGAATTGATGAATCTGATCCTTGCAGTGTTGCAAATTGCCGTTAAAATTCAGTGCGGAATCGTTGGTGCTGCAACATGATGCGATTCAATGAACTTATCTCGTTTTTGATATAGAGGATGAGAGTTTAAAGAAGTTAGAGTTGTTATTGTTGACGTGCAATGAATGGTTGAAGAATCAATGGTGATGAAAGTTTTGCAGAGGAAATCCGGTCACAAAGTGAGTCTGTGGTTGAAGATGGAGGAAGAGAGTAGAGAGAAGACGTGAGAGTCTTTTCTGTGATTTTAGAGGATGAAGATGAAGATAGAAAATGAAGAAGAATACATGTAAAGAGATAATTTTCGAGGGAGAAAGAGAGAGTTTTGGAGAGTCGCTTTTCTGCAGAATCCATAATCTCTTCCATCTGGTGAGTTTTGCTCTCTTTTTATAATTATGTTAGAAGGTTAGAAGAATTAGATATTATTATGAAAGTTTGTTACATTCTGTTATTGATCGAGCTGTTAGTTATTGATCTGTTAAATGTTAGTAAATTGGTTAGGGGTTATGGAGTTTGTTAGCAGTTGGTTAGAGATTTGGTTATTCTGTTAATGAAATTCTTTTTGGTTAGAATTTGTTGGCTAGTTTTGTTAGAATTCTGTTTGATTTCTGTTAGGACAGTTAAGAAGTTGTTAGTAAGTTGTTAGTGTGAATTAGAAAACAATTAGATTCATTAGAGTGAGTTATAAAACAGTTAGAGATGAATCAAATTTAAACTATTGAATTTGTAGGTTGGCTGCAGAAAAAATATGTCTTGACTCTGAAGAATGAACTAAAACTAAATTGGAGTTTTGGTTTTCCTCACGAACTGCAATACCAAAGTTCTCAAAATGCATTTCCCCAAGCTTTCTCTTGAATTGAACTGACCTATTAATTTGCCACGAACCGGTACATCAATCACTTTTCTGTTTTCACTATGGGGCTATTAGAATGTTCTTACTTCTGATTTGGTTTATTTGAATTTATTTTTTTATTTTCTACTGTAGCATAAACTGAAGGTTAGTTGACAGCTACTCGAAATTTTGTTATAAACCTGAGCTTTTGATTTCAATTTTTTGTTAGCCATTTGGAGGATGAGATCGAGTAAGTTGGAGGTTCTGTTATAATTAGTGAGGTTTAGTTGAAATAGTCAGTTGCAATTCAGAAATCTGTTATAACTGATTTCAAAGTTTGTTAGCTTCTGAAAACAAGTTAGTTTGTGAGAGTCGTTATTAGATACTACTTATAGGTAGTTAACTGTAAGTGAAGAGGATCAATCTTAGTTAGCGTTAACAGTTAATATGGGTTTGTTAGTAATTTCTGTTTTGAACTAGAAATCCTACTGAAAGTTGGTTTAGTTAAAAAATTATTAGGAGCTAGTTATAAAATTCTATTTTGACAGTTAGGATAGTTAAAGTTAGTTGGTTATTTTGGAAATTATTTGGTTCTGTTTATACAGTTACGGTTAGAAGTTGGGGCTGCAAATCTAGGAAACGGGTTGTTAGAAAACTGTTTTGGTCTAAATGTCAGCTTGGCTTGGATTTCCTTTGGAATATTAATACACTATTCAGCTTGAATTAAACTGGTGCAAGTCTGGACTGGTATAGGTATTGCATATCACAATCCTTTTTTGTTATTAATAAAGGGCCATGTTTTCTGTTATGGATTTCTGAGCTGATTCATCATGAAGGCTTAATGGGAACCATTAACTGGTTTCTTTGAATCGTGGTTAGTTGATGCAACGGCTGCTCATGACAAGGTTCGGTTTTCTTGATTATGCACGATGGTTCCTTTTTTTTTATTCAACCTGTAATAAAATGAACTGGTTTTTTATTTATTTATATGGTGCAGGGCTCTATGAACTGATATGGAACATTTTGTGGACAAGCTTAGAATTGGTTTCAAGGAATTTAGACATAGAATGATCCGGTTTGCAGGGCTGCACATGCAGAATGCTACTGTCTGTGACAAAAGAGTAGTATATGTGTTTGGTTGGCTGAACTGTTTTGGATAATTGGTAGTGTATGCTTGCAATTTGAAGAAGGCTTTAAAATTGAGAAGATGACATGAGAGGTTGAATATGGTGTGAAGAAATACCAAGGAAAAGCAGTTCATAGTTTGGGCTAAGTGAAGGAGAATTTGAAGATGGATACTTGGCACAAATATGGAAGCATGAAGATGTTTGGATATTAGGATTTTAGGCTTTGAACAAAAGTTTGTGTAATATTTTTTTGTATGATGTTTAGACATGATGTCATGGTTTTGTAAATTGGATTTATGGTTTGTAAATGATAAACAGTGTGAAACTTGAATAGTGAATGTTGAACTTGGATTTTGAACTTTTGTACTTGAAACTTGCAATTTCGTATTATGGTCACTTGAACGGTGAATGAAATTTGGGCTTGTGATCTTGAAATTTGAAATAGCCTTGAATAATTCTCAAGTGACCTGTACATGAATGAGCTTGATATTTGCTCTAAATTTCAAATAACTTGTTTCTCAAGAAATCCTCATGAATCCTTTTCTAACCTTGCATGCTTGATAAATGAACTTTAATCCAAAAAAATTATTTAACAAAACTTGAATTCACATGAGATTTCTCTTGAAATAATTCAAAGAAAACTCCATGATCAGAATTCAAACTTCTTGAATGACTCCTAAAGCAAATGCCTTATATCATAAGTCATGAAGTGAGCCCAATCTTCAATTGATGACCATGAACCAAATGGTCCCTAATATCACCCTATGTCCTTTGTGAGAGAATGGATCCAATACCTTGATCCCCACTAATCTTGTGTAACAAACAATAAGAGGACCAAACCGACTTGATTTTAATGAATTCATAATGACATCCTTATATCACAGCTTATCATCCCATGAACCTCCATTGAAGATGTTGATAAACCCAAGTACGATAGGATATAAATCCTAATCTTCCACACAAAGCTTTTAGATTTTGATCTCAAAGCGTTGAAATGAAATCCGAAGAAAATAGATTATATCGCAAGTAATCCAATCGACCAGATGAAGAGCTTTGCATTATAAGGCATACAAACCCTAATTCGTGAAGAAGATCCAACTGAATCTTCTTATCTAGAATATAGTTGTTGCCCATATGACTAGTGATTCAAGCACTGATTTCCTTCTTATTTGCCAAAGATATATCAATTGAAACCCTAGTTATACATGGACGATATCCCCTGATGATAGCCTTTCCTGATAATCACAACTTCACAGAGAAACCTCTCTTGAATGGTACATGATTTAGAGAAATAAACCCTAATCAAAGGATGATGTTGAGCACAAGGAGATAATGAATGTATGATTTAGTAGCCCTTAGATGACCTCGTAGAATAACTTGGAAATGAACAAATAAATATGACCAAGATGGCCATGACGTAAAAACCTAATGAATCTCAGTTGATGAAATGCTGACAAGTGCAAACTTGGCGGAGAAAAACTCTGACTATTGTCTTGAATGCATCTGAATGAGTAATAACCCCCTTAAGTGGAAGATAATGGAACCCTCAATAAGCATAGGTTGCAACCCTAATTCCACATTTCACTACTTAAAGGATAATCAGAAGAATCAGGATTTATTGGATACGAACACCTTAGCTGCTGCGAAACCCTAATATTGCACAACCACTGAACTTTGAACCTCAAGCTCTTTCGAATGCAAATGTATGTTAATGACCTAATGGAATATATACAGATGAATGCAAGAGTCTAAGCCAGATAGAAGAAATTAGAAGGGAAAATTTTAGGGTGCAACAACAACTTCACAGCGTCTCGTCGACATCTGAAGACTGAGGCCACCCTCGAGGCAATCGTCCAGAGAAGCGATGAGACCCTCAGGGAATACACTGATCGGTTCAATTACGAGGCTAATTAGGTCCTGTGCATCGATCACATTAAAAGATACCTGCTTGAGAGGGGACTCCTTCTGGGTAGTGAATTTAGAAAGGTCGTCGGCATTGAGTCCCCTAGAACTTTCGATGCTCTCCTCGAAAAGCCTCGGGTATACATGGACTACAAGGAGAAAGAAGCAGCCAATAGAGCCCACGATTCGAGGAACCACATATAACCGAACATTCTGCGGCACCAGGACGCGGGCCCTTCTAGACAAACCGGGGAGAAGAAAAGGGAGGAAAAACCACACGATCCCCACGAGCATAGAGGACCAGTAGGACGGTTCATAGAATACACCCCGCTGACCGCTTCCTGCGAGCGTGTCCTTGCGGAGTGCTTTAAAACTGAGTTCAAGAATGACAACTTCATATGTTCTCAACTCGCTCCTGCAATTTCCAGGGCAGACATAACAAAATACTGTCAGTACCATCTGAGCCACGGGAACTTTACGGAAGACCGCATCCACCTAAAAGATGCCATCGAGACTCTCATCAAGTGTGGGAGACTCGGGAAGTACAAAAGAAATAAATCCCCTCGTCGGGATACCCATGAGGTAAAAGAAATCGAGGAAGAAACCCGACCATTCGATGAATCGGGTCCCCTTCAGGTGGCTTTCTCCGTGACGAGGCCCAAGGACTTCCACGTCCTTGACATCTATGAAGATGAACCCTTGTCCATACACAGAAGATGGGAGAAATTCCCCTCCACCATGGTCATATCTGGTGGGGGATTCAACGACATTTCAGTATATTTGGGAAAGAGGAAACTCGACGAGTTGGTGGACGCGGCCCCAACCCAGGCAGTAACCCTAGAAAGGTTCAAAGGAAAATCTGAGCCGATCACTTTCTACCTTGAGGAGATTCCCAGGGGATCCCCAAACTCAAGCATTCCTCTGCTGGTGAGGGCGAGGATGGCCAACTTCGATGTACATCGCATCCTGGTCGACGAGGGGTGTTCCATCGATGCTATGTACAGTCACCTTTTCCGTACCTTGCAACTCGATGATACCCATATGTCATCATATGTAGGGTTCGACCTGCAAGGATTAAACGACTCAACCTCCAAACCTTGGGGATACGTTGAACTCTTTGTAACCTTCGAGGAAGAAACCGCATCCTGACAGGTCAAGGTGCAATTTTTGGTGATCTATTTCCCATCTCTCTACAACTGCATTCTAAGGAGACCAACATTGGTCGAGCTGACCACCGTACCCACCACGGTCCATTTGAAAATGAAGTTCTACACCAGGAGGGCCCCCATCGCCACCATCCATAGAGACATCTCATCTTCCAGGAGATGTTTTCACGCGGCTTCCAAAGGGCAAAACATGGTCGACACTGGAGTGTGACTTGCCAAAAGAGCAACCACTGCTCGAATTGAATCGAAGCCTGCTCAGATAGAAGGAAAATAGGATCCACCAAAGGTCAAATCCATTTTTCTCGACACCCGCTTTGACAAAAATGATGTCGAAGCCCCCAATAGAAAATAGGATATTCTCAGGCCCATCCCAGACGGAGACTTCGAGTTCATCCCCCTCGACAATGACCCTCACAAAGGCGTGAAGAATGGCACTGGACTCCCTGGCCTGACGAGGAAGTAACTCAAAGCCTGTTTAAGGGATAATGCTGACTTGTTTGCATGGAGTGCTGGAGAAATGCCCAGAATCGACCCTGAGGTCGCCTGTCACCAACTCGTTATGGATTCGGCCGCTAGGGAAGTAGTGCAATGTAGGCTTAGGCAATCTCCCGAAATAGTAGAGGCTACTGAAAAAGCTTTAAAATACCTCCAAGAGGAAAATTTTATTTCTGAGGCCCGGTATTCATCCTGGCTCTCAAACGTTGTACTTGTCAAGAAAAATAATGGAAAATGACGATTGTGTG